GGGTCACACCGCGGGACAAGGGGGTAATGAGCACTTGTCGCTGGCACGTGGACGCTTTAATGGCAGGACGATCGCGTCGCGGCAATGGTAACGATGGTTACTAAGATGCCGGACCACAGGCGATGCTAGAGCTGCGCTGAGGGTGAGCTAACGTGGTTAGCTGTTAGTTGAGATAGTGTATTACGAGCCCTATTCCCAGATGTAGGAAGTAGAACCGCGGAGTTAAGAGGTGTGTTGATAACTGATTTATTCTTCATTTGGTACATGTTTATATACTACTTGGAACACGAAAGTTTAGTGTAATGATTAGTGAATGAGCTATATTCTAAAGTAGGTAGGTAGGTCAGGGAGTTTTGATTATGGTAGCAGTTTGTGTAGTTGGCCCGGCAGACACTGCAAAATGTGCTGACTGCATTGGCCGGTCAGTGTGCCGTTTAGTCGGTGAGACGGTGAATTAGTGAGACATATAATATGCTGATCAGCCATTCTCATATGCCGTGGGTGCTACTGAGCGCCTGGTACTGTTCCCAACTTGGCTACTGCTTGATTTGTTGGGTGTGGTCATGTTGAGTACCTTTGGGTACGAACAGATGTTAAAGTAAAGGTAACGGCAATCAGCACCCCACCCCCCTCCCCCCCTACGAGGAGAGCGATCAGTTCTATACGTATTACAATTTTTGGACAGAAATTCAGAGGCTGATATCTCCGGTTTCAGCCAAGTCTCAGTAAAGGCCAGAATGTCTTCAGAAAAGGCAGAGGAGTCAGCATAAAGCTTAGGTAGCTTCATATTAAGTCTTTTTTTGTTTAGGTGACCCTACTGACATTTTTTTAATCAGCAACTACGCTCATAAGTTTATCAAACAGTTTTATAAAACGATCATTGGTCAGCGCAACATAGCCATCCAAATCACGGTCTATTCCAACGCATGAGGCACAAGTCCACGAAAAACCAACACCCAGATCAATATAGTCTTTTACTCTGCCAACAAGTCCAGTACATTTCGGATGTATGACTATGTTGCAAAGACGACAGTAAATAAAAACGTCATTAGGTGACGATCCAAACTGACTATCTTTTTTGGAACAAAAAAAAACCATTCTTAGGTATTTTAATTTAATAAAAAAAAGTTTTTTACAAAACCAAAAAATCAATAGAATTATAAATACCTCACTTAATTTGACACTGGTATCAAACAATAAAAATGTAGACACACAAGAACACATATGTATTAGAGCGCGTAGAGACTGCGAGAGAGCGCGACAGAGTGGCTGTCGACTGAGCGTGGCTTGCGAAACAAAAACAAAATATACACACAACAGTTTAGACGACAAGAAACGGGAGAGAGATTACAAGAAAGTTATGGAAAAACACAACAAAAACTATTGAAACAAATGCATCACAGCGTCCAGAAGTTAAAATAACAAAATGCACAGGCTAAAAACAGAGTTAGGTTATGTTTAAACTTCTACAATAAAATAGACAATTAAACATAAACAGACGATTTAAAACACAATCACGGCTGGTTATATTGGACTAAATCACAAAGCAAGGCACCAGTATCACAGATATTAATGACAAATTGACAAAAATCACAGAGCAAAAGATAAACACAACCGGTTACAAGCGACGCTTAATCGACTAATAAGCTCAAAAATGTGAAATAGTCATGAAGTTCCTTATATAGTCATAAGTTAATAAAGGGCCGTCGTCGCTGTCCGTATCGCTGTTCGGATTCCCGAGCCGATCACCGGGTCGTTAGCGAGCAGGGTCGCTGTCTGGATCGCTGTTCGGATTCCCGAACCGATCCTCGGCGTCTAAGCCGTTTCCTTGCCTAGCAGAGATGTAGTGGTCTCTAAGTCGTTTCAAACCTAAGCTAAGAGGATACTAATAATAGGAGAGTCCAAATGGAGACTTACGCGTACTGGGCCACACCGTTCTTCTCCCACAGGCATACTCGTTTCCCAACGCCATTCCCGTAGAAGCTGACACCGAAGTTCCCCACCGCGTCCTGAGAGCCTGCCTTCGGTCAATGCGTTTACTCTGTATTTAATTTACCTAATAAACCTAAACATATTGATTGTACTAAGTCTCGTACGTGTTATACTCTGGGACCGTATTGGATTCTCTGACATTAATAAATGTTGGAACGAACTGATGGATCCCGCTGAACTACCTCAGCCAAAGCAGGACCGTTACACTCTATTCAGCTTTCGATATGTTTGTCCCCTCATTTCCCTTTGCAAACGCGTCTCGTAAGCTGCCCTTTGTTCTCACGTACCCTCTCTTTCCTGAAAAACTCCATGTCCACACTGTTTAAGAAAATTTAAGAGAACCGGGCTTCAAGCTGACCACTCGTTCTAAGTTCTTAATCCATAACTCTGAAGGCTACAATAGTTAAACCGTTATCACCTTGATTCTACATCCGCCTCTTGTGACTCCGATATTGCGATCTTATTTGCCAAATTTTCCAGTCCACGTACTCATCTTTTAGTTACGGTAACACATCATCCTACCGATACCCTCTCCCTCACTCCAACTGTATTTTCATGCCCCTTTTTAGTTAGGAGGATGTTTTTCTAAATCTTCAAGCAATTAATCTTTATCTGCAGGCCCTAATCTTGAACCAAGCTGTGTTATAAAATAAATTTGCCGATACTTCGTGCAAACCGTTATCTAAACTTTTTCAGATATCCCTTCTAAACTCTTATTTCCCTGAAGTTTGAAAGGAATCGTTTATCATCCCACTTCATAAATAAGGAAGCAAGTCGGATATTAAAAACTACAGCGGTATTGTAACACTGAGCGAATTCCCATGTTTTTCGAACAGCTAATTACCGCTCAGCAACAGCACCAATGCAGTTTAGTAATGTTTCCGACTCAGCATGGCTTTATAAAACGAAGGTCAACGTCTACGAATCTTTTTGAATTTACTTCAGTCATCAGAAGCGCTTTAAGAATAATTATCAAATGTATGTCATTTTTACAGACTTCAGTAAGGATTTCGATTCTGTGAACCATCAATTATTATTGAAAACTTACACTATTAGGACTCTTCATCACGTTGACTAAGTGGATTTTAACATACTTATTGAACCGGACTCAGAGATTAGCTTTGAAAAGCTCAATCTCTAAACTTGTCCACGTAACCTCTGATGTTCCGCAGAAAGCCACCTAGGATATTTTTTTTTTGTAATTTTCACAAATGACTTACCTCAAGTAGTTATCTCCTCTCAAGTTATGATGTATGCTGACGACGTAATACTTTGTTTTCGGTTAACGAATCTCTATTCCTATGCACTTTAGCAAGCCGATTTGAACAATTGGTGCATTCAGAATTTGCTGTTTTCAAATAACTCTAAATTTAACTTTATGTCCTTTAATCCGAAAAATCTTTTCCTCACAAGATATTTTATTGGGTGGAGTCATCTTGAGCGCATAAATTCCGTTACAGACCAACTTTTTTACGAAACGCCTATACATTTTCTTGGTTCGTCCAATCCTTGTTTGGTCGACTCAATATGCTAAGTATCAGAACCTTATCGAATCGGTACAGAAACAGTTCCTTTTGTTTGCATTTCGTCGTTTAAACTTGGAAACTCATCGTAACCTACCATCTTACGTGGTTAGACTGCGTCTACTGAACCTGCCCTTCCTCAAGGATCGTCGGACCTGCCATAGTGCTATGTTCCTTCCCAAATTAATCACTGGAATTGTAAATTCAAGCTACCATTTTGGTCAATTACAGCTCTCCATCCATGTAAGGTCAACTCGTCACTTTCGACCTATTGCCCTAGAAATTTGTAAGACTAATTTTGAGTTACATGATCCATTTCGCGTTTTATGTTCGCAATATAATGAACTGCATTGTTTGATATTCACTGAATGCTCTGTAAATTTGAATGTAACAAACATCTTTACCCACCTGTCTTTGCCCCTCCCAGATATTTGCTGACTTTAATGAAATAACTAAATGAAGTATAAATTTACGATGTGTGAGATCCGGCAGTAAAAGGCAACCAACGGGATCAAGGCAGCGACGCAGCATCGGGAGAGAAAGAGAGGAATGATCGACCGGCAAGCACTCGAGAGTGAAACGGCAACGAGGGAAGTCAAATTACGGAGCAACGGAGCAAACGTGTATTAATATTATTAGCTTTTTCCTGCTTCGAGAAAACGGTGCGCCAATGAGGCTCAACTTGGCACTTCCGCCAATAAGCATTCCGGAATTCAATGGCGAGTATCTAGACTGGCCACGGTTTCATGACGTCTTTGTAGAGTTAGTACATAATAAACCATATTCGGCCAGTCAAAAACCACATATTCTACAGAGCTCGCTTTGTGGTGAAGCGAGAAACGTTTTGACAGACCCAGACTTCTCACAGGGTGGCTATGACGACACATGGTTGCGATTGAAAGCCAAATACCAGAACGGAATGATACTAATATTCGCAGCCATAGCAAAAATGGTTGACTAAAAGCCTATAGATCGCTCTTCGCGCCAAGCCAGCGCCTTACATGACACGATCAAAAATTCAATGAGTACTTTAAAAAACATGGAAATCTGCACAAAGAGCTGGTATCCAATTATACGGTCTTTAGTACGTCGAAATCTGGATCAGTATACGTTTGCCGCTCTCAAAGATTCAGCCAACTCACCGACAGAAGTCCCGTAGCTGGAAAGTATTTTAGCCTTTTTAGAACGGCGCTCGGGGAAGTTGGAAACATTGGATGCTCAACCCATGGGACATACAAATACTTATTAATAAAGACTTGAAATACTTTAAACGTAAGCCCGAAGTTTCCTACTAATTCACGGTAATGTGGTGGGTCATAACAGGATGTTTTTTTTCTGAGTGTACCTTAGCCGCTTTTTCTGCTCTAATTACTGCGGAATGATTAATTAACGCTGAATCGAAAACTCTGTTTGGTCCCTTCTCGCACCATCTTTGCTAATGTCAGATTCTTATCGCCTTCGCTTAAGTTTCCCGATTGGACTTACCGTCCCATGGGCAGCCTACGATCTCGATCCGCAGACAGACAGTACGGTCGTATTGGCCATATGGATAGATGCGGATCTTCGAGGCGAAAATGATTGGCTGCAGGGCGTTCTCCACCTCGCTGTAAGTGTTGATGTTGCCGGGCAGGATCTGCGGAGGATTGAGGATCGGGTTAGCTGATACTTGGTGTTTTCTTGGTTGGGCGACACCTACCTCTTTGCCCTGGATATTCTTCCAGCGCTGCCATTTATCGAATCCCGGGCGCCAGTACTCAAGGACGTATGCCTCGGTGTACTCTTGGCCCTGACCCTTGCCAAAGCGGCCCTGGGTCCGGATCGCGGTTATCACGTGCGTCTGCAGCAAGTCGACCTGCAGATACTCCTTGAGGGCGTTAGACACCATGTGTTTGGGACACCAAGCTCCTCCATTATTATCGTTTTTCAGTCTGAAACGGAAGGGGAAACTTTAATAATAAGCCTCCGTCTACGGTAGCTGCGATAACCAGATAATGGGGTTAAGAAGCGAGAGTTTTTATAAATTAGCGAGCAATACCCGACGCTATGCAGTCCGCAAAGCTTGAAACAACAATCGTTGGCTATTCTTATTTAGAGAAATAAAGTATTTTTATATAATAAGCATGCGCAATCAAATTACTGCTTTGCTTAAAAACAATACATAAAGTGTTAACAATTTCATTTTATGATATCTTTAATCTTCAAATGAGATACAATTTCGCTGTTTTGTTAGATATATGCAAAAATCTGTATCAGAAGTTAAATTTATAAAATATTATTTGTGAGTGTTTTGGTTTCGACTGCAGTACGCAGCTTCGAAAATTATTCGGGTTATTTAAAAATGCGGGTGCTAGACGTGTTTTAGCGTTATGGGCGTTTTCTGGGCGTTAGAGTGGGCGTAGCATCCTGCTGAAACAAACTGGCGCTGCAAGTTGGTTCTTATTATCAATACCAATCTACAGGCCATCAATAATTGAAATAGGACCATTCATTATAGAGTTATATCCAAAAAAATCAATATTTAGCGAACTCGAGATGGCACACAACATGCATCAAATCAGCTGCTTTCAAGAATTCGCCACCCAGCCGCTAAAGGCGCTATAGGCTAGTAAGTGTCTCGCACTCTATTTAACTGAGTAAAGGGTATCTAATAATCAAGACCATCGAGTATAAGATTTTTTCTCGATTTTTTTTAGCTTATTATACCCTTGCAGAGGGTATATTGATTTCAGTCAGAAGTTTGCAACGCAGTGAAGGAGACGTTTCCGACCCCATGAAGTATATATTTTCTTGATCAGCATGACTAGACGAGTCGATCTAGTTCTGTTCGTCTGTCCGTCGGATTCTACGCAAACTAGTCTCTTAGCTGCCATAGGAACGATCGGAAAATTGGTGGGAAAATAATATGAAACAAATTATAGCTTCGGTGTTGTCTGACATATATAATATTTGGGAATATGATTTTTTGTATTTTTAAATTAAATAAACATAACTGCAAGGGTATACAAAAAATTTTCCGATCGTTCCTATGGTAGATGTATGATATAGTCGTCCGATTTTGATAAAATTAAATTCGAAATTCAGAACTAATTAAAAAATGCTATTTCCAAGCGTAGGAGGTTATATGTTAAAAAACACGGAAGCTAAAACTTGTTTCATATTATTTTTCAACCAATTTTCGGATCGTTCCTATGGCAGCTATATTATATAGTCGTCCGATTTTGATCAAATTTAATTCAAAGTTTAATACTTATTTATTTCCAAGCGTAGAAGGTTATATGTTAAAAAACACCGAAGCTATAATTTCTTTCATATTATTTTCTCACCAATTTTATCGAATGTAATACCATTTTTCGTCACAATTGTTGATATCCGAAATTTTTGTTAAGGCGCGTTCGCCACTACTTTTTACCTCGTTAAGAGGTGTTTTTGTTTGATATCAGAAGCTTTTTTTTGCACAAGAGTTTAAGTACCCCAATACCATGACTAGGAGTCGTCCCCATATGGCTTGGCTATTGAAAAACCAATAGGTATAATAAGGTATGGGCTGTTTACAATAACATTCTTATAAGAATGAAACATATAAAAGAATATTAAACTTTTTAATAACAAGCTTAATCGCTTCAATTACCTATTTTAATAGGGATTTTCCAAAGTGGTAGATCAAATAGATCAAGTTTCCATTTTGGATAAGCTTCATGCAAGTAAAGGACCCTAAAACCATAACAGATTTTCCGTTTGAAAAAATCTAATAAGAATATTTTTCATCAAATTGTTTTTTTTCTTGTTTATTCCAATAAGTACGAAATATTTCGTATACGGAGCTGAAACGAGTTGCACCTTTTATCGCTTAGGATCTTCCAAACGGTAATTTTTAGGGCAAAAAGTGTTATATATCAAAAGTTAAGGAATCTCAAGGGCTATATGATTTGACATTTTAAAAGAAATCGTTCGACTCAATTTTAAGAAAATAGTCAAAAAGTGTGTGAGGATGCGGGAAACACACCCTCCACATTTCGCCACTTTTATTCTTTCCGCCACGAAGGCCTACAATTGGATGTTACGGCACGACGGCCATTTATTTATAAGTTATAAGCATAAGTTAGCCATAAGTCGTTACGCCACGAAGGCAATTTATTTAAGTTCAAACTAGAAGCTAAGCTTATCAGATTTAAATATCGCGCGCACCAGGGCTGGAAAACCACCCAGTGTTGGTCAACCGAGGGCCAACAGCTGATAGTGCCGATAGCGATAGGCGGAGGATCGATATGAAACTGTGTTGGGAAACGAAAAAAAACCCGGCAAACCGAGCTTACATGCGGCCGCAAGGGCGGAAGCTCGCTCTCATTCCCGAATGGCAGAAAAGGCGACCATACCTAGGAGCGGACTTCAACCCGGAGTGGCACAGCGGCACGAGCGTCGGTACGCCGGATCCAAGGAGTAAGTGGGACACAGACAATAGAGATCAGACTGAGTGCGAGTAGGGGACTAGGAAAATAACTTGTGAAACTAGCGAATAATAAAGATAAAAGAGAATGAAGAAGTATGTGTCCGTGTGAATTTGTGCATTTTTCGGGAACCCACGTGCAGTGATTTATGCCGGTCGGGAATCGTGTTGCATTAGAGAAGCCTGCTCGGTGCAAACGACCACCCGATCGCCCACAAGGAGCATAGGAAAGGATCGCCTCTGGCCATCCTCTCCTGGGAACCCCGCCCCAAATACGGTTTAGGTAGTCGCGAGCCACGTGCAGTGATCTGTGCCGGTCGGGAATCGTGTTGCGCCAGAGACGATTACTCAGTGCAAACGACCACTCGATCGACCACAGGGATCCCTACCTTCTACCCCAGTAGCTTGTGAGTCGCACATCCAGGGAAAACGGCCACGCCGTCCAGTTTTGTTGGTATTTTCTCAGGGATCGGCCACGCCACTCGTTTCGTTAGTATTTTCGCCGGGAGCAGCCCCGCCCTCCACTATACCTTCCGGGTGCCGTGTTGCGCTAGAGCCGCTTACTCGGTGCAACGCGGATACGCTGGCCTCTTTTCCCCACAAATCCCCGCGGCAACTCTCCGTCCAGTTTCGTTCCAATATTTTTCTACAAATTTAACTGTAGAGGACCCTGGCCGGACTGAGTTTTATCCCAGCCTATGAAAAAGGTCCTTACAAGTGTTTTTAAAAATAACATTTTGTCATAACTCGAAATCTTTTATATTCAGACAACTTTACTATATCAAGGGTATTTAGCAAATTAAATTATCTATGGTTTCCAAAACCCTAAAACTGAGATGGGATGCATACAAACCCACAAACAAAATGACAAACGTTTTCATTTTGGGAAGAGGAAGAAAATCTTGTTTTTTGAATTACTTTTGAACGGGACATCGGATTTCAACAAATGAGGTGTCGACGCGTATTCTCAGTAAGAATAAAACTAGCTAAACAGTCGGCGGCTTTTATCCCCTCCGAATCCAGCAGCTCCAATTTTCTAAATTTTTACTTTTACACTTTCACCGCTTTTTCTCCCAAACAAATCTATATTTTAAAAGTCTTGGTATGCCATCTTCTTAGTTAGTGCGATACCTTTCGATTGGGGTATCACTTACGATCGAACCATAATGGCAGATTTTCAATTCTGAGGCTATATATTGTAGTTGTCTTCGCAGGCTCTCTTGCGCGCTTCGCCACTACGTGTACTGCCGTCCACAGTGATATAGTAGTTGTCTTCGCACGCTTTCTTGTGCGCTTCGCCACTACGTGTACTGCCGTCCACAGTGATAGTTATCCGATCCGGCTGGTTCCGACTTATATACTACGTGCAAAAAATATAAGACTTTTTTGAAAGTTTCAGCCCGATAGCTTTAAAACTGTGAGACTAGTTTGCGTAGAAACGGACGGACAGACGGACATGGCTAGATCGACTCGTCTAGTCATGCTGATCAAGAATATATATACTTTATGGGGTCGGAAACGTCTCCTTCACTGCGTTGCAAACTTCTGACTAAAATCAATATACCCTCTGCAAGGGTATAAAAACACCGAAGCTATAATTTATTTCATATTATTTTCCTACCAATTTTCCGATCGTTCCTATGGCAGCTATATGATATAGTCGTCCGATTTTGACACAATTTAATTTTAAATTTAAAACTATTTATAAAATGTTATTTCCAAGCTTAGAAGGTTATGATAAGAAACACCAAAGTTATATTATTTTTTTTCGATTATTCCTATTCCTATTACCTGCAAAAGAAATAAGACTTTTGGGAAAGTTTCAGCCCGATAGCTTTAAAACTGAGAGACTAGTTTGCGTAGAAACGGACGGACAGACGGACAGACGGCCATACGGAAATGGCTAGATCGACTCGTCTAGTGATGCTAATCAAGAATATATATACTTTATAGGGTCGGAAACGTCTACTTATTTTAAACAAATAAGAACACCCGTTACTCGTAGAGTAAAAGGGTATACTAGATTCGTCGGAAAGTATGTAACAGGCAGAAGGAAGCGTTTCCATAAACTATTCTTGATCATGATCACTAGCCGGGTCGATGTAGACATGTCCGTCTGTCTGTCCGTATGGATAAACGCTGAGATCTCGGAAACTATAAGAGCTAGTCTATTGAGATTTGGCATGCAGATTCCTGAGATTCCATGCAATGTGCCACGCCCACTCTAACGCCCACAAACCGCCAAAAACAGTTTTGATGATAGAGTACAAATTTTAACTGAAATGAATTGTTTTTTTCAAACCCTATCGATTAATCCAAAAAAAAGTTTGTTTGACATAAGAAGAAATAAGCTTGCAACGCAGTGAAGGAGACGTTTCCGACCCCGTAATGTATATATATTCTTGATCAGCTTCACTAGACCAGTCGATCTAGCCATTTCCGTCTGTTCGTCTGTCCGTCGGATTCTACGCAAAATAGTCTCTCAGTTTTAAAGCTATCGGGCTGAAACTTTTTCAAAGGTCTTATTTGTTTTGCAGGTAGTGTCCAAGTCAGATCAGACAACTATATCTTACAGCTCCCATAGGAATAATCGGAAAAAAAAACTAAAACAAGAAAGGAAGTTGACTTCGGCAAGCCGAAGTTTGTATACCCTTGCAGTTATAATTACTAAATTTAAAAATACTTTTGTATTTATTATTGTATTGTATGATATTCCCAATAGTATAGGATAATATGTCAAAAAACACCGAAGCTATAATTTGTTTCATATTATTTTCTCACCAATTTTCCGATCGTTCTTATGGCAGCTATATGACATCGTCGTCCTATTTTGATAAAATTAAATTCGAAATTCAGAGCTAATTAAAAAATGTTATTTCCAAGCGTAGGAGTTTATATGTTAAAAAACACCGAAGCTATAATTTGTTTCATATTATTTTCCCCCCAATTTTCGGATCGTTCCTATGGCAGGTATATGATCTAGTCGTCCGATTTTGATAAAATTAAATTCAAAATTCAGAAATAATTCAAACATGTTATTTCCAAGCGTAGGAGTTTATATGTTAAAAAACACCGAAGCTATAATTTGTTTCATATTATTTTCGAAATTCAGAACTAATTAAAAAATGTTATTTCCAAGCGTAGGAGTTTATATGTTAAAAAACACCGAAGCTATAATTTGTTTCACATTATTTTCCCACCAATTTTCCGATCGTTCCTATGGCAGCTTTATGATATAGTCGTCCGATTTTTATACAATTAAATCGGAAATTCAGAACTAATTAAAAAATGTTGTTTCCAAGCGTAGGAGTTTATATGTTAAAAACACCAAAGAAATCATTTTTTTACATTTTTTTCCGATTATTCCTCTGGGAGCTATAAGATGGAAACCTGTCCTTCACTACGTTGCAAACTTCTGACTGAAATCATACTACCCTCTGCAAGGGTATAATGAACAAGAAAAACATCAATAAAAAAGTAAAAGGGTTGCACTGGGACTCGAACCTGCTTTACCCGTCTGCGCTTCTTAAATTGAATATTTCGGTACGACAGATCATGCAAAAACAAATTTATTTTTTAGGGTATGAATCATTTTAGGGTGTGGGTAATCATTTTTAGAAAAGGTAATGCAAAACCATTTTATTTTTGCGTTGGCCTTTCTTTTTTTTCAGGAAATATTTTCTAGGTATAACACAATTTTTTTTAATTTTGGACGATTCTAGTTTTTGTTAACCATAAATTTAAGTATCGCTTTCTCGGTTTATAAAAACATTTTCATGACGTGGAAAAAAAAATTTTGGTATTTAGAAAAATAAAATTTCAATGGCGATATATGCGACGTATATAAGATTTGCCTTTTATTGCGTTCCGAAAAATGAATAATAAAGGATATGAAAACAAGATTAATTAGTTGTTATTGCTTAAAGCTACTTGAGTACGTGTTTTACTTTTTCTTTCATCGCTTTTTTATCGTTTTTTTTTTTTTATAAAGGACTCAGTATTAAACAGCAAAGCGAGTTTATAATGCTCGCCCTACCCGCGATCTCAATATATGGTTATGGCGGCAGACAGATTTAAGCGATATGGGCGTTAGAGCAGGCGTGGCAAACTTTTGTTGGGTCAATCGAAAGGTATTGACGAGACTAATACATTTCAGTTAACAATTTGTTTCTAGCATGCAAATTGTAGGCGCCACAACTTTGGGCGATTCGTGGGCGTAAGAGTGGGCGTGGCATATTGGCGTAACACACTTGCGCTTCGCAGGAATCTCTAGAATGGGCATGCTTAATCCCAGTATTGCAGCTTTTATAGTTTCTGAGATCACAGTGTTCATACGGACAGACGGACATGGCTAGATCGACTCGGCTAGTGATCCTGATCAAGAATATATATACTTTGTTGGGTCGGAAACGCTTCCTTCTACCTGTTACATACATTCCGACGAATCTATTATACCCTTTTACTCTGCGAGTAACGGGTATAAAAATACGAGTCCCATAAAACCAACTTTCGAAAGTTATTTTTCGTCGGAAAATTTGATGTCAAAACTTTTGTAAGTTGAAGGTTTGTTCGCCACGACCCCTTACCTCGGTAAGAGGTGTTTTAGTTTAAAAGCTTCCTTTTACTCTTGGGTATAGCTTTTTTACAAGATTTCTGAATCTAAAATTTTCATCTTATAAGGATAAGACAGTAATTTAGAAAAATAAAAACCATCGGGGATGGCACAGAAACCAAATTAAAGTTTTTCACCAACAAGTACTATTTATTTTTACTATTTACTATACATTATTAATTTTTTTTATTTGTCGAGTGCCTCGACTATCAGATGCCCGTTACTTAGCTAAAGAGAAATTAAGATATACAAGCAGCAAAGAGAGATTGTAAAGCGCCACATAAGATTTATTTTTAAACGCCAACTTACCTTGCGTGTTGAGGTCCAACGAAACCCATGTCATGGGCTGAACTCGCTGTGATTTGGGCATCAGTTATGACTAACGACTCCATGCCCAACGGCACATTGCACGTGACTATAAATAAACGGAAAATAATTATATATTTTTAACATTAATTAAATAATGTAAATATTGTAATTTAATTATGGAGGCAATGTATTTCAGTCTGTGCAACATCTCGTGTTTTTGACGATTACACAAAGAAAGATGCGTTCAAATACACATGGTCCGTCTCATTTCCATCCATCTCTGACTCAAAACGTGTAAGACTCTCTACATCAGTTCTTATACCCGTTACTCGTAGAGTAAAAGGGTATACTAGATTCGTCGTAAAGTATGTAACAGGCAGAATTCAGAACTAATTAAAAAAATTTTATTTCTAAGCGTAGGAGGTTATATGTTAAAAAACACCGAAGCCATGATTTGTTTCATATTAATTTGCCACCATTTTTCCGATCGCTCCATAGCAGCTATATGATATAGTAGTCCGATTTTGATAAAATTAAATTCAAAATTCAGAACCGATTGTTTCTATGGCAGCTAAATGACATAGTCGTCCGATTTTGATAAAATTAAATTCGAAATTCAGAACTAATTAAAAAGTGTTATTTCTAAGCGTAGGAGGTTATATGTTAAAAAACACCGAAGCTATGATTTGTTTCATATTATTTTCCCACCAATTTTGCGATCGTTCCTATGGCAGCTATATGATATAGTCGTCCGATTTTGATAAAATTAAATTCGAAATTCAGAACTAATTGAAAAATGTTATTTCCAAGCGTAGGAGGTTATATGTTAAGAAACACCGAAGCTACAATTTGTTTCATATTATTTTTCATACAATTTTCCAATCGTTCCTATGGCAGCTATATTATATAATCGTCCAATTTCGATAAAATTAAATTCGAAATTCAGAACTAATGAAAGAATGTTATATCCAAGAGTAGGAGGTTATATGCTAAAAACAAGAAAGAACGCTTTGGTCGAGTGCCTCAACTATCAGATACCCGTTACTCAGCTAAAAGGAGCAAAGGGAAATGGAGATATGCAAGCAGCAAAGCGAGATTAAAATGCGCCACCTACCGGCGGTAGACAGATTTAAGCGCTATGGGCGTTAGAGTGGGCTTGGCAAATTTTTGGATCAATCAATAGGTATTGACGAGACCAATACATTTCAGTTAAAATTTTTTATCTAGCATGAAAATTGTGGGCGTCATAGAATTTCGCGGTTTGTGGGCGTTAAAGTGGGAGTGGCAAACTTTTTTGTATGTCAATTGATAGGTATTGATGAGAACAATACATTAAAATTTGTATTCTAGCATCAAAACTGTAGGAGCAACAGTTTTGGGCGGGTTGTGGGCGTTAGAGTGGGCGTGGCACTCTGTGGAAACAAACTTGCGCTGCGTAAGAAGCTCAGGAATCTGCACGCCAAATCTCAATAGCCTAGCTCCCATAGTTTTCGAGATCTCAGCGTTCATCCGGACAGACAGACAGGCGGACAGACGGACCGACAGACAGACCGACATGGCTAGATCGACTCGGCTAGTGATCCTGATCAAGAATATATATACTTTATGGGGTCGGAAACGCTTCCTTCTGCCTGTTACATACTTTCCGACGAATCTAGTATACCATTTTACTCTACGAGTAACGGGTATGATCACTGAAGCTATAATTTGTTTCATATTATTTTCCCACCAATTTTTTTTTCGTTCCTATGGCAGCTATATGATACAGTCGTCCGATTTTGATAAAATTAAATTCGAAATTCAAAACTAATTAAACATTGTTATTTCTAAGCTTAAGAGGTTATATGTTTATAAACACCAAAAATATAACTTTTTAAAGTTTTTTTTCGATTATTCCTATGGGAGCTATAAGATGTAGTTGTCCGATCCGGTTGGTTTCGACTTATATATTACCTGCAAAAGATATACGACTTTTGGGAAAGTTTCAGCCCGATAGCTTAAAAACTGAGAGACTAGTTTGCGTAGAAGGGGACGGACAGACGGACATGGCTAGATCGACTCGTCTAGTCATGCTGATCAAGAATATATATACTTTATGGGGTCGGAAACGTCTCCTTCACTGCGTTGCAATCTTCTGACTGAAATCAATATACCTTCTGCAAGGGTATAAAAATGAAGTAAACTCCAAAAGGTTGGTTGTCGTGACCTACGTTTTATAAATCCGTGTTGACAAGAGGAAATAAAGGACCTACATCTGTGTTGTAAATGGGGCCTAATAATGTTCTTAAAGAGCTTCGGTATAGCTGATAGCTTTGAAATACCTCTGTATTAAAATTACATGCGTTTAATTTACTCCCTTTTTTATGAAGCGGGATAACAAATGGTGCAATGGTCTACACAAAGTCTCAGAGCAATACCTAAGCACACATCCAGGGACTCCGTCAGGACCCGGAGAGTAGACAAGTTGCACCCTTTGCAAATCTAAAAGAAGTGAGCTTTCACTTATAACAGGACAAAGAATAAAGTTTAATTTTGGAATGTCGTATGGGTAAGACTGATCTGGAGGACTTGATGTTGAATAGGTGGTTTGAAATAACCGTGCAAAAAGATCGGCTATGGCCTGGTCACTGTTTGCGGCCGAATTTTCAAATTTAATAGATGATGGGTAACTTGAAGATTTACACTTTGTGTTAGCAAAACTATAAAACTGTTTTGGATCCAGTGTAAACTGAGTCTTGCAACGAGTTAAATAGTTTTTATAACACTGAGCGTTAAGCACGGTAAAATCAGACCGAGCACCTAAGTATCGGGAAAAGGCAGCTTGTGGACCAGAAGCTCTAAACTTTTTGTAGAGTCTTGACTTTACATTTTTAAGTCGTGCCAGCTCTTTGTCAAGCCACAGAGGTTGGTTTGAAATTTTAATTAATACGTAGGAACGCATGTACCATAAAATGCGTAATACATTATAAAATATATTAACCGCTTCAGTTATATTAGTACATAAGTACAGACTAGACCAATCCGAGCAAGCTATAAGGTTATTATTGAGTTCAAAGTTCGCTCTACAAAAGCAGGTGTGGGTTTAGCTGACTTTTCAGATAGCTCATGCACTTTTGTACCCGTGTCAATAGTCAGCTCTAGCGTTGGGTGATATGGCTCTTCTGGTAAAGTAATTGCAGAGGTTCTAGCTATGCAAGCACAATCTGGACTGGAAACAAAGCACAGATCCAGTAATCGTCCTAATGAATTTAAAGCTTTATTTACTTGAGACAATGAAATATCAAGCAAACCGGCAAGAAAATCATGCTGCGTTGAAGGTAACAATATATTTGATGTTTCGACGGTGACCATGTCGCCCTAGGTGTATAAAAGTAACCTAAAACTATAAACTGATCCCCATCTGATAGGTTACTTGAAATAAACTGGATAGCGGAAAGATGATTCGCATATATTGGGAATTCAGATGACGGAGGACTTTATGAACCTGTTATGTATACAGAAATACCCGGAAGTCATAGTTTTATACACAGAAATTCAATGTCATTAATTTCGTCGGACGTTATTGCTTCAGACGTTAATTCTGAGTCAACAGCAATTAAAACTCCACCTCCACGTCGGGACGGACGATCAATCCTGTAAGTTTTGAACTTACTTGGAAAAACTTCGGAACTTAGAATTTCCGGTTTTAACCAGGTTTCTGTAAACACAATATCATGGGAAGACAAGGAAGAACTAAACAGAACAAAAATTGACTGAGCACATAGTTGCAAAATGAGCACAGCGAACACCGATCTTAAATGATGCTACTTCCCTAGCATATGGAAAATTAAACCGTTCAACCTTTAGATCATTCATCTGAACTTTGTTATGGATATAGGCCGTAGTGTCCAGGGATGAAAGGTCAGGATTTAGCTGACAAACAAAAATTTGTTTCCGTTGCAGTACACAGGTGACTGTTCTAGGTACTACGCATGTGACAGGTTTTGGTACTACGGCATTTAAGGATGCACTACCAGTATCAGTCGGTACTCCGGACGTTAAGTCAACATGCTGCGTTGGAATTATTATAGTATTATTAAAAATCTCGCGTTCTTTGCATTCGGAAACCAAATCTTTTTTAGCTTTCGACTTCAGTACCAGTGCCTTGGTTTCATAAAAACCGTTCTCAGCGTTCTCGATTTCAGTATTTTCGATCTCAAAAGTGAGCCAAGAACGACTCATACTAAAAATACTAAAATCGTCATCGAAGTCTTCTCGGATTCCGAACGGTCCTTTGAGAATGGTCGATCTTGATTTCAGTATGAATCGTTCTCGGTTTCAACATCGAATCGATCTCGATTTCGAAAATAACCGTTCTCGTTTTCAACATCGCATCGATCTCGCTTCCAGAATCCATTCTCAATAAAAATGATAAATTTGTTTAATTTATATATATTTTAGCCTTACGGCTTTAATGTTATTATTAAGTCTATATATGTACATGAAGGGGGGCGTTACAAAGTCGGAAAAATTATATATTAAGTTTCTTAATGGATTTTTTACAACGTATGATCATAAATGACAATTGTATTCTACTTCAATTTTTTCACAATAAAAATAAACTTCATTTAAATTTAACCTAACATAAAATTATTCTTATTTAAACCTCCTTCCACTCCGTCAACCCCGAAAAGCACACGGAACCCAATCGGTGGGATGGCCTCTTTAATTTCATCGTCATTTATGTATTGAAGGCACTCGTAAGAGACCCCGGCACCTAAAACAAGAAATGATTTTTTTAATACTATACTAAAGTATAGCTGCGATTAACAATAACAATTTGTTACATATGTACATATATATATTTTGCATTCGCATATCTATGTGTATACTTTAGGTTATGTCGTGTGTCACTGTGCGTGCATGCAAACAGTGTACTTACAAGTCGAAAAAAAACTGCGCTGCGTGCATAGTTATGTATACTAAAATACACACATGTGTTCATAGAAATCTGTGTTTGTTAATACCATCCAATTTAGCTAATTATTTCACTCATTAGCTTATAAGCTAATAATTATTAGTTTACGTTACGTTACGTTTATGTTATGTGTTAAATGTTATGTTACAATAAATTACCGATTTCGCTTTGTTAAGAAAAACGTGTTCGAATAAAAATCAAAGATAAACTAACACACTAACACAAATTGTAATAAAATCATTTTACTTACGCTGTGAATACGGAAGGTCTTTTATTAGTTTAAATTCCTGAAGCAGGTCCTCCAATTTTTGCTCGTCTTCGTTGTCTGGCATTGCACCAAATACAAAGAAGTGAATTTGCAGCCACTAGACTCCGCTTGTCTCGATAACTTTGCGGTCATTTCAAGAGAGGAGTTTGGTCGCTCTCCTCTCACTGACATTTTTTCTAAGTCTTCCCCTCACGTCCCTCGTCAACAACCACAGAAACGAGATTGATTTTAGTTCGGAATACTAAAATCGACATCGCTTCCGTCATGAAACCGAGAAGAAAAATGTGAGAAGACACAATACTTAAACCGAGAAGAACAGATCTCGGTTTTTTCCGTTCTCAATTTTTCTAAGTGTATGAAAAATATTCTCGTACGAATTGCACGGAATACTCTGTTGTCTAGCCGAAATCAACGACTTGCATTTCTTTTAATTGCAGACAGCCATGATCGCGATATTCCGAACCACAGTTCAAAGAGAATAATGCTACGCAAGTAAAGAGAGCGGGAGAGAGTGAGCGGGAGTGAGTAAGCTGGGGGAGCGTAAGTTCTTGATGTTCCAACAACAAAGTTATATACTACCGTTTAGACTCTTACCGCTCCAAGCAGCATTTGGAAGAAAAGAAGAAGGAAATTAGAAACAAGCAAGAACGCTATAGTCGAGTACCTCGACTACCAGATACCCGTTGGTAGTCGAGTACTCAGCTAAAGGGACCAAAGGGAAATGGAGATATGCAAGCAGCAAAGCGAGTAGACAGATTTAAGCGTTATGGGCGTTAGAGTGGGCGAGGCAAATTTTTTTTTTGATCAATCGATAGGTATTGACCAGACCAATGCATTTCAGTTAAAATTTTTTATCTAGCATAAAAACTGTGGGCGTCACAGGTTTGGGCGGTTTGTGGGCGTTAGAGTGGGCGTGGCCAATCGATAGGTATTGATGAAAACAATACATTTCAGCTAAAATTTTTATTCTAGCATCAAAACTGTAGGAGCCACAGTTTTGGGCGGTTTGTGGGCGTAAGAGTGGGCGTGGCACATTGCTGAAACAAACTTGCGCTGCGTAAGAAGCTCAGGAATCTGCACGCCAAATCTCAATAGCCTAGCTTTTATAGTTTCCGAGATCTCAGCGTTCATCCGGACAGACGGACAGACGGGCATGGCTAGATCGACTCGGCTAGTGATCCTGATCAAGAATATATATACTTTATGGGGTCGGAAATGCTTCCTTCTGCCTGTTACATATTTTCTGACGAATCTAGTATACCCTTTTACTCTACGAGTAACGGGTATTAGATTTCGTAGCCTTGTACGCAGCGCAAGTTTGTTAAGCGTATAAGCCTCGCCTACTCTAAGGCCCAAAAGCCGCCCAAGCCTGTGGCGCTCACGATTTTCATGTTAGCAACAACATTTTAACTTAAATGTATTAGTCTCGTCAACATCTATCGATTGACCCGAAAAAAAGTTTGCCACGCCACTCCCCAAAAAGAAAAGCAATGACGTTAGAACCAGACAATGACAAATGTATTTATGCATGTGTGTGTGTAAATATTTGCAAGCCGAAAAGAGCAAAATATAAAGCTCTTTCAAACAAAGCTGTCCGACCAAATATTTTATAATTATATTTCAGAATATGTACATAATACGCTTTAAGACGGTTAATGTTTAGCGGTCATACATTAATATACATGTTTTTTGCCTATTTCATGTATTGCTCTATCTGTCTTGGCGATGCCAGAATAAACGCGGCTATCTTATTCTATTGAATAATTCATTTAAGCTATATGTTATTTTGGTCTCCCCCTCTCTCTCTCTCCAATAAACTCAAAACCAATTTCAACTATCTAATTCCGATTAGGTTAATGTAAAATATTAATTGCTGAAAAACTCGGCAAGGGGCTTCCCGCTCTTTGCATTGCAGTCGACTTACATGAGCCAAAAAAGAAAGAAACGGAAGATCGTTTAGCCAACGTTGCAAAATCCGTGCACGTAAAATTGACGGGGGAAAAACTATACAGCGCCCTTAAACCCTTCTGATTTCCCATTAGTCTAGGCCTAACTCTCGTATAGCGAAACCCGTGTGCCTAATGCGATTTTTTGCGAATTAACATTTAAGTTACCTTTTATCAATTTTCAATTTAAAAGCTGAGTAACGTGCACCTGGTAGACGAGCTACTGGACTATAACGTTCTCTCTTCTTTTCAATATTTTTTCATAACAAACTGATATGCTTTCATATTAAATTGATAATCTTTTAAATCAATTTGTAATTTTTCACATCAGATTGATTATTGATGATTATTAAAACTTCTTAAATAGGCTTAAAATATTTTTTTCAATATATTTCAGAACTTAGAACTTATTTTGAGAACTTCTGGCACGTTTACCACAAGCGCCCATAACGCTTAACATTTCGAAGATTATCTTTTAGTGTAAATTCAAATTGATTTTACTGATCAATACCTATCTAAAGTATGTAACAGGCAGATCAAGATCACTAGCCGAGTCGACTAGCCAAGTTAATGTCAATCAAAAAGAATAACTCCTAGCACAAGGAGCACCATACAGCGATATTCCTCTGATTTACGCATGTATCCAGGCGTGCACATTGCATTATAGTAATTTGAAATCACAGCCTTGAACTCACCGATATCAAATGCCGTTGTTGTCGGCGCGTTGAGCATTAAGCAGCCGCTGGTGATCACCATCGCCCAGAGGCTGAGCTCCCATCTCCGTCGGAGGGTGTGGATTGGAGGGCGGGAAGCAGCGAATGTGGGTATGAAGCGGGTGGTGTTGGAAAGGCACTGGCGGGAGAACATGATGATGTTGATGATAATCGCTTCGCTTGACGATAAGTGCTTCATAGCAGTTATTTTAAAGAGGCAGTGAGATCTGCAATGCATAGATATATTTATTAAAGTAATACTAATAATTAAAGTATAATAAAGTAACATATTTATTAAAGTAAAATAGTGGAGAACATTTATTGAGTATATTTCTGTAAAAGTTCATGGTAAAATACCAGTTGAGTTAAATCCTACAGCTCTTGGCGTAAATCAATTATTTGTTCACTTCTAAAAGTTGACGAACTCATAAATAAATTCTAAAACTCTTTGCAGATGTTTTATTATTAATTTTTTCTTAAAGGAAAGTATAATTTGTTCATTAATGGAATCACAATTTATCTGTACACTTAAAAAAATGTCTACTTCAGTTCTGGGCTTAAATTAAAAAAATTAAGTTAATATTAATAACAAATAATTGTTTGTTAGTTATCGGCAATGTTTGTTACGATACCCTACAAGGTACTGTTAAAATATATGATGGGGCCACTTTCATAAGACGCAAAGGAAAATAACACAAACTAGCAAAAATTATTGCTTTATATCTTATGAATACATATATTTATTTATCTGACTTGGTTTTCCACAAGTCTTTGCTCTGGCAGTTCTGATACACATATAAATTAAAGAGGTTTTTTAATCTTTGCTCCACTTTTCTAGTCAAAACAATAAAGAACACTATAGTCGAGTACCTCGACTATCAGATACTCTTTACTCGGCTAAAGGGACCAAAGGTTTGGGCGGTTTGTGGGCATTAGAGTGGGCGTGGCATATTCGCGTAACATACTTGCGCTGCGTACAGGGCTACGGAATCTAAATCTGAAATCTCAATTCCCTATCTTCTTTAGTTTCCGAGATATCCGCGTTCATACTAACGATTTTTTGAAGTGTGTGGGCGTTAAAGTGGGCGAGGCACCCTGCTGAAAGAAACTTGCGCTGCGCAGGAATCTCAGGAATCTGCATGTAGCTCTTATAGTTTCCGAGATCTCAGCGTTCATACGGACAGACGGACAAACGGACAGACGGACATGGCTAGATCGACCGGCTAGTTATCCTTATCAAAAATATATATACTGCGTGGTGTCGGAACGCTTCCTTCTACCTGTTACATACTTTCCGACGAATGTAGTATACCCTTTTACTTTACGAGTTTCAGGTATAAATATGTTTTTATTAAAGAGTTTCCAATTGGGAATGACTCTTCTAGATATCTTTTGCAAGCAGAAATCACAGTGAGGTAGTAAAGCGTAAGAAGGGAATGGCACACGCAGAAGGGTATTGGGAAAAGAAATGTGTCCTCGCAAAAACTTTTGCAAATTCTAGACAGTATGCATGTCAAGTGGTGAGCATAGTGAATCGCGGGGCAGTCAAAATGCTGAGAATATGAGAGGTTAATAACTGAATAGTCGTCACATGTCAGAAAGAAAAGGCAAAGAAAAATTCACAAAGGACAGCAATAAAAACAAAAAGAATTCAAATGGGTCAGGGGAGTTGGAAAATATATTTTAAAGGCATCTTTGACTAAATAGTATAATTCGAGACAGGATTCGTATATGCCAGGCAACGCATCAGATGAAATATAGGAATAATTTATTAGTTTTTAGGAACATGAACCTAACCTAGTGAGCAAAATAAATAAGGCTATATTTATTTATTTCAATTCATTCCAGCGGCTTAACATCAGACCACATAATGTAGACACTTCTAGCTGGTATTATGAGTCATTCATAATTTCGGAGGGCATCAAAGCTGATCTCCTGTCTGGCTGCCTCGCCCTTGCGGCCTCTGTCGGACTACTCAGGTCTGTCAATTGAATGGGCTGGTTGAACATAAAATTCGCCATACAGAGAACATACTATTAACCGCTTTGTCTGTGGATTATCATCATTCATATTGTCATCGTCGACTCCATGTGTGTGCCTGTTAGGGATTTTTTTTATGAATTACAATACAGGCCTCTTCTGACAAAAACTTAAATGGCGGATTATATTGAAAACATTTTTGGAGAAGAATGACAACGACATTGACAATGAAGCGGTAGTAAGTTACTACTAGGCGCTCGCAACAAAAATTGACAGGGTGACACACTAAAAAAGTGGGGCGAGGACGGCGGGCCAAAATGCCATCGTACAAATAACACTAGAACGGTGCAGGCTGTCGGTTGAGAAGGGTGAGGGTGAAAGGCAGGACGTTCGATAGGCGGATCAACGGAGCGTATCCAGGACATGTGGGCTGAGGTCGGAACCCTCACTCAAGCTCTTTCGATTTTCCGAATTATTTTCTAGGCGTGGGTCCGCAAAAGGTTCGATATGGAATAATGACCCTGGTTTTAGGATTTAATGTACAAATGCAGCTCCGACCCAGAGGGCCGAATACTCAGATCATTAACCTATGTTTCTCAGCTATTGCTGCCAAACAAATTGGTTCGGCCTGATTACTTTTAACTACATGTATAGTAAGTGATATTAACAATAGGGGTACTTCTACCATGGTTCTTCAGACCTCCCAGGAGGGACCAGTCATGACGTCATCAGTCAAATGCTCGTTATGAAATTTCTACCATACCGCAAGTAAATATACCCGTTACTTGTAGGTAGAAGGAAGCGATTCCGACCCCATAAAATATATAAAATCTTTATCAGGATCCTAGCCGGGTCGATCTAGCCATGTCCGTCCGTCCATATAAATTCTGAGATCTCTCAGACTATAACAGCTAGAGTGTTGGGATTTGGCATGCAGATTCTTGGGTGACGCTAGGTGGCGCTAGCCACAAGCTAACATCCTTCTCGCACTCTCTTTAGCTGAGTAACGGTTATCAAATAGTCGCCGTCGAATATAGCGTCCTTTCTTTTTTTCTCATAAGTTTCGTTGCGGCTCCTAATGTTTTTGGTTTATTTTACAGCTTATTTATTTTGAATTTGGGTCGTCAGGGCAATCGATTAATAATACTGAAAATAATTATAAGTTTTTAATATATTTTAGTTATAAAACTTTTTTCTCATTCCATCGTGCGGTTTTTTTTGTTATGCATTTCTAAGTCTTATTAGCAAGAAGAGAGTATGTGAATATAAATACTGACGTCGAAAGCGCCTATAAAACAGCGGGGCGCATACATACATGCCGGACTTTTCGATGCGTGTGTGCGTCGTTGTGTTTTTAACATGTAAATGTAATGTGCTCTCCCCTTCCGACCGTTCCTACGCAAACTATTCTCTCAGTTTTAAAGCTATCGGGCTGAAACTTTCCCAAGGTCTTATTTCTTTTGCATGTAGTATATATGTAAGTCGGAACCAGCCGGATCGCTCAACTATATCTTATAGCTCCCATAGGAATAATCGGAAAAAATATGTAAAACAAAGGAGAACGAGTACCTCGACTACCAGATACCCGTTACTCAGCTAAAGGAACCATATCGAAATTGAGACATGCAAGCAGTAAAGCGAGATTAACATGCGCCACCTACCCGCGATCTCAATATATGGTTATGTGGGCTGCAGACTGATTTAGGCGTTATGGGCGTTAGAGTGGGCGTGCCAAACTTTTTTGGGGTCAATCGATAGGTATTGACGAGACTAATACATTTCAGTTAACAGTTTTTTCTAGCATGAAAATTGCCTGTGGATTAGGCGACTTGTTGGCGTTAGAGTGGGCGTGGCAAACTTTTTTGGGTTAACCGATAGGTATTGATGAGGACAATACATTTCAGTTACATTTTTTATTCAAGCATCAAAACTGTAGGTTTGTGGGCGTGGCATCTTTGCGTAACAAACTTGAACTGCGTACAAGGCTACGGAATCAGCATCTGAAGTCACAATCCTCTATCTTCTACAGTTTTTGAGATATTTGCGTTCATACCTACGATTTTTTGAAGTTTGTAGGCGGTTTGTCGGCGTTAAAGTGGGCGGAGCAAACTTTTTTGGGCTAAGCGATAGGTATTGATGAGGACAATACATTTCAGCTAAATTTTTTATTCAAGCATCAAAACTGTAGAAGCCACAGTTTTGGCCGGTTTGTGTGCGTTAGAGTGGGCGTGGCACTCTACTGAAACAAACTTGCGCTGCGTAAGAAGCTCAGGCAAGCCAAATCTCAATAGCCTAGCTCTTATAGCTTCCGAGATCTCAGCGTTCATCCGGACGGACAGACAGACGGACAGACGGTCAGACGATCAGTCGGACAGACGGACAAGGCTAGATCGACTCGGTTAGTGATCCTGATCAAGAATATATATACTTTATGGGGTCGGAAAAGCTCTCTTCTACCTGTTACATACTTTCCGACGAATCTAGTATACCCTTTTACTCTACGAGTAACGGGTATAAAAATCTAGCCATGTCCGTCTGTCCGTCTGTCTGTCTGTCCGGATGAACGCTGAGATTTCGGAAACTATAAGAGCTAGGCTATTAAGATTTGGCGTGCAGATTCCTGAGCTTCTTACGCAGCGTTTCAGCAGAGTGCCACGCCCACTCTAACGCCCACAAACCGCCCAAAACTGGGGCTCTTAGAGTTTTGATGCTAGAATAAAAATTTTAACATAAGTGTATTCTTCTCATCAATACCTATCGAGTGACCCAAAAAAAAAAATTGCCATGCCCACTCTAACGCCCACAAACCGCCCAAACCTGTGACGGCACAGTTTTCATGCTAGATAAAAAATTTTAACTGAAATGTATTGGTCTCGTCAATACCTATCGATTGATCCACAAAAAATTTTGCCACGCCCACTCTAACGCCCATATTCTACCGCCGGTAGGTGGCGTATTTAAATCTCGCTTTGCTGCTTGCATATCTCCATTTCCCTTTGGTCCCTTTAGCTGAGTAACAGGTATCTGATAGTTGAGGTACTCGTTCTCCTTTGTTTTACATATTTTTTCCGATTATTTCAATGGGAGCTATAAAATATAGTTGGGCTAGGAAATAATATTTTTGAATCAGTTCTGAATTTTAATTTTAATTTTATCAACATCGGACGATTATATCATATAGCTGCCATAGGAACGATTGGAAAATTGGTGGGAAAATAAAATGAAACTAATTATAGGTTCGGTGTTT